TGAGGAGGATTCAAAGCTGAACAGGGCTGGCGTCGGAACTGAACAGGGTGTCGTCCATGTTTCATGTTGGAGTGCCGAGGCTCAATACTTGGGTCCGGGAGCCATCCTTTGGGATGCCCACATCTGGTTCAAGTCCCGGCTACTCCGCTTCTGATCCTGCTCCCTGCTAATGCATGTGGGAAGGAAGGCAGCAGAGGATGGCTCAAGTCTTTGGGCCCCTGCACCCATGTGGGAGACAAGAATGGAGTTCCTGGCTCTTGGCTTCAGTCTGTTTCAGACCCGGCTGTTGTGACTGCTTGGGGAGTGAACCAGCAGTTGGAAGATACTTATTTCTCTCTCTCTCTCTCTCTCTCTCTCTCTCTCTCTGCCTTTCAAATAAATAAATAAATCTTTAACAACAACAAACAAAAATATCCAGGTCTGGCTCCTGACTCCAGCTTCCTGCTAATGCAGACCCTGGGAGGCAGCAGCCATGGTCCAAGCAATTGGGCTTGCCACCCACCTGGGGGCCTGGATTGGGTTCCCTGTTCCTGCTTGGATGGGGCTGAGGGGCCCTAGCAGACATCTAGAGAAGGAGCCAGTGAATGGGAGCCCTCTTTCTCTTATCATCTCTCCTCTCTCTCTTTCCCCCTCTCCCTCCCTTCCAAATTAATTAGTTAAACCCTCAGGTCAACAAGTTTGCTTCTTACATCTTTCCGCCCTCGTCAAATTCTTGAGCTCAGGGCTGAACATGCTGGGTCCTGGCACAGAAAATGCTTTGTCAGCCCAGTTTGTAATGGGCTCCACCCTGAGCTCAGTAATCTGGTTAAAAACAGAAGCTAAGTTAGAAAACTCCTATCTAATTCAATTAGTAAACTCAAAAGTTCCAGATCTTCTTTAGAAACTTGATCTTTCTGTCTAAAACAGGAGAGGGTGAAAACTGGCAAATGACAAATCTTGTCTTTTTAGCCAGTGGCTTTAACTTGTCTCATTTTTGTCAGAAATACAATTTGGATAAAATATAAATAAGTTCATTTTACTAATTCATAACTGGAGTTTTTATTTGAACTTTTTTTTAATTTGAAATGCTGATGATAGAAATAGAGAAAGAGATCTTCCATCCACTGGTTCACTCCCCAGATGCTCCCAACAGCCAGGGTTGGACCAGGCCGGAGCCAGGAACTCCAACCAGGTCTCCCATGTGGGTGGCAGGAACCTGAGTACTTGTACCTGCCGCCTCCCAGGCACATTATGGGGAAGCTGGATCAGGCTTGGAGGCAGGATGCAATCCTAGGCACTCAAATATAGGATTCGGGTGTGCCAGGCAGTGGCTTATCTGGCTATGCCACAGCACCTATCCCAACAAAATTTCACAAGGATAGGGCAGGCGTGGCACAGTGGGAAAAGCTGCTGCCTGAGACTCCGGCATCCCATATACGCACTGAGGGTGTCCCAGCTGCTCCACTTCTGACCCAGCTCCCTGCTAAGAGCCTGGGAAAAGCAGCTGAAGATGGTCCAAGTGTTTGGGCCCCTGCCACCACACGGGAAACATGGAAGAAGCTCCTGGCTCCTGGCTTTGGCCTAGCCCAGCCCTGGTTGTGGCCGCCATCTGGGGAGTGAATCAGTGAATGGAAGATCTCTCTCTCTGTCTCTCCCTCTCTCTCTGCAACTCTGACTTTCAAATAAATATTTTTTAAAAATTCAAAATGAAAGCTATCTTTATTTTCTATCTATATGTATATACACATTTGAATATGTATGTATATTATGTTTGTGTTATTTTATAACTCCAAATAGCATTACTTTATCAAATAAATTCCTTAAAAAACTCTATTGAAATAAATGAGCTCTCATACAAATTAAATGAATTCCTAAAGCTCTCAGAAATATAGGAACTAACCCAAGTGCCTTTGAGTTTATATGATATGGGTAATTCTTGGTAAATAAAGCTAATTTTTAAGTTACTGGTAAGCACTCCAATGTGAGATGCCAATACTGGCACTACAAACCATGGCTTAACCTACTTTGCCACAACACCGGCCTAATAGTTATCTGATTTGTCAACAAAAATAAAGTAACATGAGGTGGTGGCTAGTTTTGTTTAATGTCACAAGAAATTTTCATGAAGAGTTGAAGTGAATCAGGTAAGGGTAAGTGGGATAAAGTTTATAAATGAAACTTTCAATAATGATCTCATGCTATAAAACATAGCTATTTAAAATAGCTTTTTTTTTTTTTTGACAGGCAGAGTTAGACAGTGAGAGAAAGAGACAGAGAGAAAGGTCTTCCTTCCGTTGGCTCACCCCCAAATTGCTGTTACAGACGGTACGCTGCACCAATCCGAAGCCAGGAGCCAGGTGCTTCCGCCTGGTCTCCCACGCAGGTGCAGGGCCCAAGCACTTGGGCCATCCTCCACTGCCTTCCTGGGCCACAGCAGAGAGCTGGACTGGAAGAGAAGCAACCGGGACAGAATCCGGCGCCCCAACCGGGACTAGAACCCAGGGTGCCGGCGCCGCAGGCGGAGGATTAGCCTAGTGAGCCATGGCGCCGGCTATTTAAAATAGTTTTAAAAATCTTTCTTCATGATTTGCAACCTTAAGGTTATCTCAACTTAAAATTGAATTATAGATGTGTGTTAATTGTCTACATCATTCCCAATTAAGATAAAAGGCTGGGGCCTGCGTTGTGGTGCAGCTGATAAAGCTGCTGCCTTTGAGACTCCACTTGTGGTCCGGTTCCATGCCGATGGCCCGGGGAAGGCAGTGGGGGATGCCCCCGTGCATGGGCCCTGCACCCACGTAGCAGACCTGGAGGAAACTCTTGCCTTCAGCCTGGCCCAGTCCTGGACATTGTGTAGGTTTGGGGAATGAACCAGAAGATGGAAGATCTCCCTCTCTGTCTGTCTGTCTCTCTCTCTCTCTCTCCTTCTCTCAGTGACTCTGCCTTTCAAATAAGTAAATAAATGAATCTTTTTTAAAAAATATAAAATGCTGAAACATTCATAACTGCACATAAATTTAAGCGTATCTGTTTTTGACGTTATTATAGAACTAAAGCTATTATGGTCTGTTATGGCCTGTCCTTGGCCATACCACCCTGAACGCACCTGAGCTTGTCTCATCCCAGAAGCTGAGCAGGGTTGGACCTGGTTAGTACCTGGATGGGAGAAACTGTCCTATGAGGAAGCATACTTCTAGAAGCTCTTAAGTGGCGTTAATTGGGGTGGGCGTTTGGTGCAGTGGTTAAGACGCCGCTTGGGACATCCCATATGAGCGCTGGTTGGAGTCTTGGCTGTTCCACTCTGATCCAGCTCCCTGCCAGTGCTCCTGGGAAAACAGCAGAAGATGGCCTGACTGCTTGGGCTCTTGCACCCACTGGGGAGACCTGGATGGAGTTCCAGGCTCTTGGCTTTAGCCTGGCATTTGGGAGATGAACCAGTAGATGGAAGACCTCTCTCTCTGTCTCTGCCTCTCTCTCTGTGACTCTGACTTTCAAATAAACAAAATAAGTCTTTAACAAAATAAAATGTATTGCCAAAAAAAGTTATTGGGCAACATCTTTTTTAAAAGCATAACTAATAATTTGGTTCCTTTCCTTATAAAACAGAAGTTTAAACATTTCCCCTGATAGTACCAAGGTTACCAATATAAGCACTTCAAAGTGTGACACATACAAGTACAGTTTAATCTATAAGGGTGTACATATTTAAACAAGCCAAATGCACTCAGTCAGTTCACAGTAGCAATCATGCCTCAAAAGCAAGGCAACCCTCTGGCTACCATATCATTTATTTTTTGCTTTATCAGTTGGGCACTAAGGAAAATACTTGCAGCTTGAGAAGCTCATCTGAGGCCATCAGTTGGTATCAGGAGAAGGTGAACTTCCCAGAGTTTCGTGTCTGCCACGTTGGAATCATTCACTCAAGCTTGTGAATCAGATATGCAACTTATCTCACAGCCACGCTCCCCAGGTCTGGCCAATGCCTCTTCCTCCTCAATCTGCCAGATGATGGAGCATTTCTGGGATTTTCCCGGCAAGGAGCTTCCCACATCTTTCTCTTTTTCCCCCGGATTAACTGTATTACTGTACAATTTTGTCTTCTGCCTCCTCCTATGATCCTCTATTTATTTGTTTGTCTATTTATTTATTTGAGAGGCATAGAGACAGGCTGATCGAAAGAACTTCCATCCTCTGGTTTACTTCCCGAATGCTTGCTATGGCTGGGGCTGAAGCTGAGGACCACTGCAGGACTCCCAAAAGGGTTCAGGGATCCAAGTACTTGAGCCATCACCTGCTCCCCCCCAGGGTGTGCATTAGCAGGAAGCTGGATCCGAAGAGGAGCAGCAGGACTCCGACCAGGTGCCCTGAGTTGGGATGTGGGCATGCCAAGCGATGACTTGACCCTCTGCACCAAGCACCTAACCCCTAGCTCTTCTGAGTCTTGTAGAAATCTGGCCTTTTCAACCTTTCATTATTTTCCTTCCTGAATCTTTCATTCTCAGCCAAAAGGAATTCTGCATGCTTCCTCATGTCTGCAGGTTGACTGCCTGCTCCTCTATAATTGCTTCATCATCTTTTCAGGTTTTACATTCACACACACGTGGCTCTGTGAGCTCAAGTGTGTGTGTGTGTGTGTGTGTGTCTAAAATAGTAAATATCAGCTCTGGCTGTTATTGTTCATTGGTTTATTTTACTTATTTATTTATATTGTAAAGATTTATTTATTTATTTGAAAGGCAGAGTTAGAGAGAGGCAGAGGCAGAGAAAGAAAGAGAGAGAGAGGTCCTCTCTATCCACTGGTTCACTCCCCGATGGCCACAATGGTTGGAGCTGGGCCTGTTCGAAGCCAGGAGCCAGGAGCTTCTTCCGGGTCTCCCACATGGGTGCAGGGGCCCAAGGACTTGGACCATCTTCTACTGCTTTCCCAGGCCATAGCAGAGAGCTGGATCGGAAGAGGAGCAGACAGGACTGGCGCCCATATGGGATGCTGGCGCCATATCCTTCCTTTGGGGAAGGAAGCAAAAAATATGGAGCGCTTCATGAATTTGCATGTCATCCTGGCACAGGGTCCATGCTAATCTTCTCTGTATCCTTCCAATTTTACTGCATGTGCTGCCAAAGCGAGCACTGGAGGAGCTTTTAAAGTGAGTCTTGGGGCTGGCGCCATGTCATAGCGGGTAAAGCCACCGCCTGCAGTGCCAGCATACCATATGGGTGCAGGTTCGAGTCTCAGCTGCTCCTCTTCTGATCCAGCTCTCTGCTATGGCCTAGGAAAGCAGCAGAGGATGGCCCAAGTCCTTGGGCCCCTGCACCCGTGTGGGAGACCCAGAAGAAGCTCCTGGCTCCTGGCTTCGGATCAGCACAGCTCTGGTTGTTGCAGCCAACTGAGGAGTGAACCAGCAGATGGAAGACCTCTCTCTCTCTCTCTCCCTACTTCTGCTTCTTGTAACTTTACCTTTCAAATAAATAAATAAATCTTTAAAAAATTTTAAAAAATAAAGTGAGTCTTAATATCAAGGTTACACTGATGCAAAACCAGAATTTGGTCCTTAAAACAGGATTCCCTTGGCATATTGATAAGAGATTGAAAAGTTTCTTATACTTTTTAAGTGACCAGCCTAAGGGGGTAAGAGGTAATTCTGTTTTATCAGGATAATTTCTTGTGCTTCTCATTGTGTTATACGGTCTTTTGATTACTTAGGAACTGAGTTTTCTCAGTGTTAAAAGAGCTAAGTTTTTTAAAAGTCTGTGACTTTTTGTGTTTGCTTTTGAGCTCTTTTGTCATTCTGGTGTTGTTTCATGATAATCTGTGATTACGTTTAATCAAGTGTTTTAAACCTTAGATACTTTTGAAAAGCATTCTATATCCTCAGTGCTGTGGCAGAGTAGGTTAAGCCTCTGCCCGTGGCACCAGTTCTGTCCTGGCCATTTGGGGAATGACCCAGCGGGTGGAGGACCTTGCTGTCTCTTCTTCTCTCTCTCTGTAGCTCTACCTCTCAAATAAATAAATAAAATATTAAGAAAAAAAAAGAGAAAAGCTTTCTAAAATGAAATTCTAAATCGTCCTTTTCTTAACCAACCCCAAATTTCCTCTGGGACTTTTCAAGGTGGTCCCCTTGAACATCTGAAAAGAGTTTCTTCTCTCTTGCTATAAAAACAGATAGGAAACGAATCAGGCTTATTCCACAGAGGAGCACTACCTAATGATAAGCAACGCTAACCCTGGACTCTGTTAGCGACGTGGCACATGGTCTGACTGTCGAGGGTCTAAGCATTGGGCTCCCAGGACGCACCGTCACTGCGGACGGGGTCAGCCTGGGAGATGCAGCTTTCAGCTCTCTGTCTCTCAAACACAGGATGTAGGTGGTCGGAACAGGGGCTCGGTCGCTGAGGGTTGCATTGCGCATGCCTGCGAGCTGGCGGCGCAGCCGGGCGCACAGAAGCACCTGTGGCTGTTCTGCGCCCCGCGTGCCCCGTGCCCACCCCGCGACCGCCGGGCGCTGAGTCCTCGGGAGCCGCCACCGCAAGCAGAGTGGGCCCCATCCTGTGTCATCGCAGTGGGGGCTTCCAGTGAATTGGGAAATTAAAAAAAAAAAAAAAACTCAAAAAACTGATGCAAACTCTCCGAGCCTTGAGGGCCAACGGGGGCCAGCCTGGGGCGGGGCGAAGAGGTGAGCGGAGGCTCTGCAGGAAGGCAGGGCTAGCCTGAGGCTCCGGGGAGAAGGAAGAAATGAGCCAGAGTAAGCCGGGGAACGAGGGGTGCGTGTGCAGCGATGGTTTCCAGCCGAGAGGGGCTGGCCCGCGGCGGCGCTGGGCCAGCGAGGGCAGGGGCAGGAGGGCTCACTTCAGAGTCCCAGAGCTGCGGGGCTGGCGAGGCCTTCCTTGGAAGGCATGATGCACCCAGCTGCCTCATCACCGCTCTGCCTTCAGAAATGTCTCTTTGATGCGGTTTGTGCAACAGGCTGGAAGAGGCAGGGCTGCAGGCAACGATTTCATGTGTAATTCGGCCATCTGGGCCGGAAATAATAGTGGCCTAGGGGAGGATGGGAAAAGGCAGAGCTGATTCCAGGGAGTTTAGGAGGAGGCAGAGTAAGCCAACAGGAGGGGTGTGGGGGTGGGGCGGGGAGGGACCTGGGGCAGCTGCCAGGTTTCGGCTGCCGGCACACCCAGTAGGGTGGGGCCCCCATCCACCCTGGGCTCTTTACTCTGGGGATGGTGCCCACCCACAGGCTCCCTGCTCCGTACTGACGTCACAGAAAGCCCCTTCCTTCTCATCCACTCCGTGCCTGCTTGCAGGTGCACCAGCAATCAGTAGGCGCCGGGACTGGGGGAGTTCACCTGGATGGCGGACTCTGGGGGAGAGATGGGCGCTCAGGGTGGGCAGGGGACAGGGACAAGCTTTGGCCTGGACCTCTCTGCACCATGCCCTCTCCCTCTGACTCCAGCATGGGAGGAACTTGACCCCCGAGGTTAGAAGAGAGAAAAGGAAGCGACAGCAGCAAGGCCTTCGACAGAGCCCTGTTGGAACCAGAGCAGCCACCCCGGCCTATGTTGCTCGGGGAGGCTGAGCTCTGTGTTCCTGCTGCTGCCTGCCTGCCTGGTACACACAGGTGCCAGCTGTCCAGTAAGCAATCTTGGAACCGAGACACTTCCCCAGAGGTCTCCCGGGAGCAGAGATGCTGAGCGGCTTGCTCGCTGTCACACAGGGAGGGGACACGGGACTGCTCTCATCGCCTGGGTGTCAGAAACTGACAGTGACAGCACTTAGCACCGATCAAGGGTTTCCTATTTATTTATTTGAGAGAGACAGCTAGTGAGAGAGAGCTCCCATCCATTGTCTCACTCCCCCAAATTCCTGCAACAGCCAGGACTGAGCTTGGCCAAAGCCAGGGGCAGGGAACTCAATCTAGGTCTCCCACATGGCTGGCAAGGACCCCTCAGTGTGGCCTCCCAGGGTCTGCGTTAGCAGGAAGTGGAAGTGGGAGTCAAGGACTGAACCCAGGTTCGCTCATGGGATGCAGGCATCCCAATGGCTTCGAGGCCAAATGCTTGCCCCTCCTTCCAACTGCTGAATCCTCACACTTCTGCCAAGAAATTATTCTTTCCATTTTGTGGATAATGAAACTGAGGTTGAGGGAAATCAACCCTGCTCCTCAGGGTCACATGGCCTCCAGGCAACTGAACAGATCATCTGGGCCTAATAACAAAGATTCTTTTGTTTTTCAAATGTTTATTTTCATCTACCTGAAAGGCAGAGCAGCAGGAGAGAGGAAGAGAGGGAGGGAGGAGGGGTGGAGGAGGGAGGGAGGGAGGGAGAAGGAGAGATTCTGTCTACTAGTTCACTCCCCAGTGCTTGCAACAGCCTGGGCTGAGCCCAGCTGAAAGCAGGAGCCAGGAACTCCACCTGGGTCTCCTATGTGGGTGGCAGGGACCCAACTACCTGGGCCATCCTCTGCTGCCTCCCAGGATGCATCAGCCGGAGCCTGGATCAGAAGCCGAGCAACCGGGACTCAAATGGACACTCCGATGTGGGATGCAGGTGTCACACGTGGTGGCTTAACCTGCTGCCCCGCGATGGCCACCCAGTGCTGCTCCTCTGTGGCTATCCGGTCATTAAGACTTGCTCCCCGGATGCCCGGCTCCCTGCCATCCCGCTGCTTCCTGGAGAAGCCAGGTCCCAGGAAGATGCCTTGTATCAGGCTCCTCTTGTGACCCTCGTGGGCCCAGGACTGGAAGCTGAGGGGGAGGCCTGCTGGGAGCAGTCTGGCCAAGGAAGAGGAACAAGCCTGGGGAGTCCTCGACTCCTGGGGCTGTTTGCCTGTTCTCTCTGCCCCGGGAGGAGCTCTCCTGGACACTGCAGAGTTCTGCTCTTGTCCCCACCAAGCTCCAGAACCCCCCGGCCTCCTGGGCTTTGCTCTCCTGCTCCCCGTCTGGCTGTGAGGAGCCTCAGGACTTCCTCTGCCCCTGCCCTGGGACCCTGTCCAAAGCCTCAGCCTCCAGGCCCGAGGCTCCCGCCCTGGGTTTAATTTCCACCAAGTCTAATGCCCTCAAATCCCCGGCTGAGACAGCAGGCCAGGGTACGGCCTGCAGAGCTTACTCATGTGAAGAGGCTGTCTGGTGACCACTGTGGCAGCGAGGCTGGGGGAAGCCTCCCCACCCCCAGACCTGGGCTCCCTGCCACTCTCCTCCTGTAGCTTTCAGAGGGGGAGAAAAAAAAAAAGTTTAGGTCTCAGCTGAGAACAGTGCTATTTCTTGGGTCACAAGACCTCAGCTGTGCCCCTGGGCAAATCTTAGTGACAACAGATCCTTGAGTGACAAAAATGGTCAGGCTCCAGGGCTTGGCTGCTGCTGAACATCTGACCCCTGCTGGGACGGGAACCACCACTTGGAGGCTGGCGGGAGGGGGGGGGGGGGGGGACAAACCCAAGGGAGAACCCCCCCCCCCCCGCGACCCCTAAGCTTGGGGGGGGGGGGGGGGGGGGCGCCAGCAGCTCCGCTCTGTCTGCCCCGGACTGCCTCTGCTGGGAAGGCCTGAGTCCCACGGGCTGGACATTGCCTAAGGTTTCCTCCTTGTCCGCCCCAGCCTCAGCGCCCCGCCCACCGCACCCTTCTCCACGCCACTGTATCCACCCCTGTGCTGGCCACACCCGACGAGGCGCACGCCTCCGTGGCCAACACCACCTCCCTCCCCACGCAGACCGCCCTGACCTTCAGAGCCATGCACGTCGCAAGGCCTCGAAGCCGCCCGTGTTTCCAGCGGCCGGTGGGCCCTCATTCCTGGGGGACACCCAGGGAGAGGGGCCAGCCTGGGCGCGCTGGAGGGTCTCTCCCCAGCCTCCTGCCCCAGATGCGGCAGCGCGGGGCGCCCTCGTGTGGGCCGGAGCGGCCCTGCAGCCTCGCCCTCGGCTCCCCGAGCACCCTGGCTCCACTGCCTTCCATGGCTTCGTCGGTACAGTGCGGGCATCGGGCCCTGCTGGCGTTGTGGTGGGGACTTCGTGAGTGCCGAGGCAATGGAATGAGCGTCCTTACAGAGAACCTGGCTGCGCTGGCCGTTCACTTAGCTGAGCTTCCTTCCTGCTTCTCTCTCTCTGCCTCCCCACGCAAAAGGCCCTTCTTCAAAGAAGTGAA